TACCCGTTTTCTAATCGCCTCGTTACTGACACGCTGATGCCATCTACAACAAGCCACGCTTCTGAGGCACCGGTGGTCGATGCCTGACTACTCAAGACGATCTCTCTTCGGAAAACCAAGCTGTTACTCCATCTTAAAGAGGATAAATCTAAACTTTCCAAAGGGTTAAAAACGAAAGAGTTTGGGAAATAACTATCACGTATTCATGCTAACCTTGTAATAGGTACAAGAGACGGCATATAACTGAGGGAACGGGGATGGTCACAAATCGGCGCGCACTTTGAATCCAGGTCCGGGGGGTTCTGTGGTGAGCGAGGTGAGACCACCTTTGGGTTCGGAGGCGAAACGTCCACCTTGACCACTCCTAAAGCAGAAACGAACAGAGATGTAGAACAGACATGAAATCACACCGAGCTAGAACAATCTAGTCAAGCATCTGATGACTATATGGGTCATACCACCCAGGGGAATTACGAGGACTGAGATACCGTCAGCATGCACAAGCTTAGACAGCAGTCAAGACGTCGGAATTGGGTTCGAATCACGGGTTTTCCGGTCAGTAATTGGGTGCCTTCCCAATCCCCCCACTTGACAGCCCACTGACAGTGCACCAGTTTATCAGTTCCCGCATCCAATGCGCAGCTACCTACCCCCCCCCCCAAACCATCGGTGAACGGGATTGCGGCAGCTACAACCACTGTACGACGAGTACGCGGTTCTCACAGCTGATAATAATGGTGATGATGATGACTTATCTCGAGGTCAAACTATATCAAGGCAAAGCAAGTGCAGTTGTACAGTTAATTTGTTTCAGGCTAATCAATAAACAGCAAAGAAAGGAAGTCATTTTTGGATGTAAACCTACACTGAGGAACGCCTTGATGGACAAATTGGTTCCCATCTTACTTTCGGCGATAAGAGGTAGCTGGCCTTGTTGTATCAGAATAGGGACCCAGAAAATTGACTACGAAGAGTTGGCAATCTGCAGTACTGAGAGTGACAAGTCCAAAGCCGTATGAGTAAGGCTGGAGACAAATAAATAGTTCCGCATGGTGTACACGTACCGCACGTCACCGCCTCACAATTAGAGCACTAGATGGACCGGAAGAACTTACTGAGGACCTTTTTTCGGCTTTTTCCCGGCTTTGAGTTCATCCAAAATTCGTATCGTGTCGTCCGCGGTGAGATCCTCCTGGAAAACGGATAAAGTGTGATCGTACTAGGAAAATGCCCAAGCCTAAAACACGTGTACTTCAAAATCCCTGGGTTGCGTTGGAATCACGGACGGCCTGATGGGTAGCTTCGTGCCCTAACCTCTGAAACCAATCGAACTATGTCGTCCACCTACAAATGTTTCACACTGGCACCTGACAAAGGCAAGCTAAATGTAAACATCCGACATACGTGTCATACCTAGATTCTCGCTAGAAATTCGTCTTTGATGCGGACAAAAAAGTGCTCAAAATCGGTGCCAAATTTTGCCTACCAAGTCAAGTTCGTTCAGTTGTAGCACCCTTTCGGTACCTACCTGCCATGCTCCCAGAAGGAAGCACGAGGGCTGGGATACTGCCTAAACAGGGGAAGTCGAGAGGCAGATGTCGGGTTCGAACCACGGACCTTCCGGTCAGTAAATTCGCGTTCTAACCACTTGGGCCATCTCGCCGCTGGTTAAGTAGCCCTTGATGGGCACAGACCTGATACGTTCGTTGAAACGCAAATGCATCAATCCTCTACAGTGTGTGATGAGAAAAAGGGGATTGGAACATCGGTTCAGAAGGGCTTGGTAAACAATCGGTAGTTTTCAACTGGGCAACTGAAAACGGAACTGACGCAAGTCGCTCCACTGGAAGCTGCCACTCGCCGCAAGCAGTCATTCTTACTAACAAGCAGAACCTACTTGGTAAGTTGTGTATTATGAAAAATCCAAGAGCGGATCAAGGGGATCCCCGTAGAATTGGTGATTCTACGGGAGTTCCAGTTCTCACCTCCAGTTTTCAAGTCATGTACCAAACGCATGCCAGTTCCGTTTACCGATAGCGAAAACCACGGTCACGCACGATGGTCTAATCCGTTTATAGATATTCCACCAAGGGTAGTATTACTCCAAAGATGGGATTCAATGAAATAACCTAGCCATTCGCAAAGAAAACGCCCACAGATTGTCAGGAACGCACAGAGACGCGGATTGAATATTTGTGTGTAGATATGGATCACTCTAGTGTCACATACGATAACCTTTATTTCAAAACTGCGGCACATCAGCACAGGTACAACACATGCTTCACACTTTCTCATCATGCCATTCCACCCGAAGGAAGGACGAGGGCTGGGATGCCAACATGTGCTTCACACTTTCTCATGCCATCCCACCCGAAGGAAGGACGAGGGCTGGGATGCTGCCAGGTTGTTCAAGCCTAGACAGGGGAGGCCGAGAGGCAGATGTCGGGTTCGAGCCACACACACCTTCCGGTCAGTAATTTGCGCTCAAACCACTGAGCCACCTCGTCCGGACTTTCTCATCATGCCGACCTTCGAAATGTGGCAGCCGGAGGAATCCATGTACGAAAATATCAAGCTGGATGGAAGCGAGGGTCTAGATTAACGACCTGGGAGCTTAAAACTTGGAAGAGACTCAATAATAGATACATGATTAGAGTGCTCGAGGCCCACAGAGCTCAGCTGAGCCACTTGAATATGCTAGGTTTTGTATCAAACACGATAACTTGGGTTCCATGCGGAAAACCGTACATGGATAACGGGATGAGAAGTTCGGCGGCCAAGTTTGTAGTTATCCACTGACTTGAACAAGCTTTCGTGTACAACATAGACGTGATTTACGGGCACAGATTAACCGTGGCAAGATAGCGGTCAAAAAAATTTACAGTTAACTAGCAGATCCCTGCACTGTTATCCGAACAAAGCATCACATGCACTTTTCTCCGGAAGAGCCGTATCGCACAGAAAATTGGAGTGTGTTGGGGAGAGGGAAAGCACCAATTCAGTTTGAAAGATGACTCACATAATAATCATCATTGATTTGCATCATTGGAGCGTTGGTGCAAGCTCCGAGACATTCGACTTCTGTCAGTGTGAATAGGTTGTCCTTGGTCGTTTGGCCGGCTTTTATGCCTAGGTAGCAAGAAAGGGGGGAAAGTCCCATGAGCGAAGGAAGTTCGATCATTCAAGGGAATCGGTAAAAAAACGAGAAAAGTGCACCAATACGCCAAACATGTGCAAGACCGTACCATGGTCGGACGTGAGAAACACTTTCTGAGGCATTTAGCTACAGTCTCATCCACGCCTCGGTGAAACTGACGGACGGCTCTGCCGCAGGTAACTGGGGTTTCACCGTTCCAACCAACAAGATCTGTGACGTTACAGTCACTTTGAGGCAGTCTTAAGTAGAGTAAGAAAAAAAACTATCGTTCAGCGCTCGTAAAAATAGGCAAACACTAGACTGGCCTGAAGGAAATCAAAATTTACCAAGGTGTTTCTGAATAGTATCCAGTATGAGATCGGATCCAACCCCACCGAGCATACAAGGTGTTGTAGTGCAAAGCTGCACGTGGAATTTGCCCACAGGTTGGCTGAAAAGTAGAGATGAGGAGAAATTATCGTCCATTTGGGCTGAAATTGTCATGACAAGTGCCGTGTGATACATGGGCATCAAAGTAACTGACGTGACGTCGGCGAAAGGATGAAAGCGAACGAACAGTAGTAGTACAGCGGTTCAGTGGTTCATTATTCAAAGAAGTTTAGTTGCGCGGCTTTTTTCGACTAAAACCAACACTTTTCAGTGCTGTAGTGTCGTTCGTCGAAGGGTAGGGACTGGGCCTGGAAGAATTTTGCGCTGAAGGCAAAGTGCTGGAGGCAGAAATGCTACTGCGCTCCAAGGCCGGGCCAGTCGTTGGTGTGCCTGATCTCGGGGTCCTCATCCGGAAAGAACGCGCTGACAAGTTGCTCCCACTGCAGAAAATAATCCTGCCTACCTGCCATGCCACACTAGGGCCAGATTGTCCAAGCCTAGACAGAGGCTGCTAAGATGCCAGGGTCGTAAATGGACTACGGACCAATCGGTTCTCTCCTTGACCAATGAGCTCTTCACTGCACACAGTTGGGAAGAAAGCGTTATAAGGCATGCTGGTGTGCAAAGTACGCTACCTAATCAGTGTAATCCGCGACGCCTGATCAGCTTCATTGTCGCAATCGAGCTATTCCAAAACGTCAGCTGATGAACTAATCAGAATAGTCAGAGCAGCAAATAAAAGCTTGAGCATAAAGGTGGTTCGCGGCTGAATTGCGTACGCCTGCCAAAAAAGCGTTATTTCTCATTCCAAGCCTTTGTTGATGGAAAGCCCGCACAGACGAACACGTGTTCCCCCTTGCATGTGATTGGTAACCCTACGAACGTAACCAGCTTCTATGGCGAGCATACCATCATCTCCTAGCCGGGCTACCAGGCTACAATTCTTGGCGGTGCCGTGTCAATTTGACACCATGCTCGCCGTATTTATTTCGTCGTTATACGATGAAGAAGTCAGGTTGTTCGTGATCATTTTCCCTAAGGACTTCTTCGCAGTAAGTCTCAACCGTAACTCTTCCCATTCTTTACCGCAGGGGGGTGGGCGAGATGGCCTAAGTTGTTAGATCGCGAATTTACTGACTGGAAGGTCCGTGGTTCGAACCCGACCTCTGCCTTTCGAATTCGCCTGTCTAAGCTTGGGCAACCTGGTAGTATCCCAGCTCTCGTGCAACTTTCGGGTGGCATGGCAGTTAGGCACTGAAAGGGTAATGCAGCTGGACGATTATTATTATGACCGCATCGCTTTTTTCCTTTTGTTTCTGCTAGCTGGGAGCCACCAATAACTGTTGGTGTATGGTTTCGGTGACTAGTAATCCACTGGACTTATCAGTTTCGAACTTCGGAGCTCAAGTTGTCACCCGATACAATGATCACCCAGGAGAGGCCACTCGCCTTGAGAATCCTCACTAGTATATCTCACAGACATAATTCTGTGTAAATCCCTCAATGAAAGCCAATAAGCTCACTCTAGTATGTTCCGTCAAGAATATCATCCAAGTCTGAAATCGGCCTACCCATGAACTCTACATAGACAGTTGAGCTATTAATCTACGTTGTCATGGAAACACCCAAAAGTGGACATGCTAGCCCGGAAATAACTCGGTTGCTCTCCTGTAGCAAAAAAAACAGTCGAGCGGTACATGGTGTTTCGCTGCGGGCATGCTGTAGCCAGCTAACTCCTCATATGCCACAAAGGTAATCGCAGACAATTGTTTAGAGGGAGTTGGTGTATCCAGATCGGAACGGCCAACTTTCGCAACCAAAAAGCTGTAAAAACGGTCCAGCTGTGTATTAAGTTTTTGACGCCGTAAATTATTCAAGTTAACACAGGTTCGCGTTTTGACAATGTGCGATATGATTTCCCCTAACAGGGCAGAAACGTGGCTCGTGTGACTGTCAGGCTAGTTGAACCAATCAACATTACGAAGCCCATTGTCTGAAAGTTTCACGACACAAGAAAACTGAAACCCCAAGGATCACACCATGATGGCGCGGAACGCATTCCGAAACAAGTGGCCACTTCTATACTTCTATTTGAAGTAAGCTGTATGGACGAGAGCTGCCCGCATAGTCCATGGCCGCGGATCTTTCTCATGTTAGCTTTCACTTACCTCCAACAAACGAGAATAGAAGGTAACTAGGAGCTCCGGCGACCCCTATTAGTTATGGCGCACTGAGAACACTCACATAAAGAGAGCGTGAAGTGCATTTACGAACCTCGACAGTATCATTTGCTCAACGATGTGTATAGCAGTCTTCCAAGTCGAGGAGTACGGCTACCGTTGGTCGGCAGCCTGTGTGATGTCCTCGAGTACCTGGTGCAGTGCAATTTACCAGCACTTGTGAGGGCATGGCATTCGGGCCAGTTAATATTGTTTCATGAATGAGGACACGCACGAGCGCAATCCAGGAACACTTTCCAGTATCAACAGTTCGACAACACCATGAGAACGTGATGTGCAACTAGGTGTCAGAGCTAGGAGATCTTGGAGACTCATTGGGCGATGCATATGGAACAATAAAATAAGATACAAGCCACCACATACCGATTGAACATAGTATAAAACGTTGCCACTTCGTACACACGCATGGGCGGTACGCCCAAAATTTCGGCAACCTTGTTCATCGCAGAGATGGGTAGCCATCCTAACAGGAAACACATAAATGACAGCAGGTTAGAAACAAAGACGCCAAACAAACCATGTTGACGCTGAGCCAAATCCAGAGCGGGAATCATGGCCGCGGCCTTGTGTGCACTGGGATAACAGGCAATGATTGAATCTAGACGCTTTTTGTTTTCCTCTGTAAATTCGAACGGAATTGAGGGATTGTTGTCTGGCGTATCACGATGCTATTCAGTTGGAAATCAGACAGAGAACGAAAGGTGTTATCAAGGTATGAAAACTCGTCAACACAACCGTCCAAAATTTTGAATTCAACGAAATCAAAGATTGTATGATAGCAACTCAACTGCGGCATACATTATCCTAGTGAACGAGGCCCCCATCAGATAGTAGGCCGAACAAACGTGACCGAAACTCGGGATTCTATAGCAAGAACTCATCGTAGGGGCAGATTGCGGTCAGCCTCATCAGGTTCTTGTTAAAATACGCATAGAATGAATGGAAAGCTCAAGTTTTTCCCCACTTCACCAAGTACATTTTTCAGCCTTGAAAAAACACGAACACCACATCAAATGTATTTTTTATTCATCTACAACATCTTCACTGCACCCTACTCTGTTTTTTTGCCGGTACAGTCGATGACTGCTGTGGAGTATGTTTTACAGTTAAAACAGCAAGAAGTTTCGCTGAACAACTCCGTCATAATACAGCATCACGTCTGCGTCCAGAAAACCTTCGAGTATGGTAGATCGCGTCTCACGCTCGACTTATATTTGAAGCCCCAAAGTGAATGGAAGAAAAGGCCGAAGGTGGAAGGAACCGGTGCTAGGATGCTGAGGGTAACCCGAGGTGAACACACCAGCAAACTTTCAGTCAGACAGTCTGTGAAGAAACTAACGGTAAGAACGCACTGCTACCCGTTACATGCTATTTTTGGGATGTCTCCAGTCTAACGCAGTCACATGGAGCCCATCCTGGAATGCGGATGGCACTGGCGATAATTAAATTATCCGTACTAACTTTCACACCTTTCTACCAAGTCACCAGCCGTCAACCGCGGAGTTTGTGCCACTGTCAAGCCGTCAACCGCGGAGTTTGTGCCACTGTGAAGTGGACAGGGGGAACAAAATTAGTCTCAACAAACGATGATTCGCAATGTGTGGCACACGACTGCGCGGTTGCAGCTAGTGAAGATGGTGTTTTCTGTGGCTGTGCGCCCAGATACCCGTTTTGTGAGTATCTTGTTAAGAAGTCGTCGACGGCTCCCATGAGAAGCTATATTCCTATCAACGATTGGTTCAGTCTGTTCGCGACAGTTGGGTCACCCGGGTGTGTAACCCGTGATACGGCTTACGACATGCATCAACCTCAAGGTGTACCCCGAAATTGGCAACTTCATGTTGGAGTTCACAAACCGCAGCCGTGATAATTTATGTAGACGCTTGACATTGCTCACCAATACCTGAAACCGGATAGCTCAAGCGGTTTGAGCGCGAAGTTACTGCCCGGAAGGTCCGTGGTTCGAACCCGACCTCTGCCTCTCGACTTCCCCTGTCTAGGCTTGGGCAACCTGGCAGTACGCCAGACCTCGTCTTTCTTTCTGGTGGCGCGGCATCTAGGCACCGAAAATATGCTACAACTGGAGGATTTATTGTTTTACCTGAAACCGGAAAATTACTCGGGATGTGTCGATTTCAAAATGTCGATTACTGATTAGACAATAACCAGTCTGAAGGACATTCATCTCCCATGAGGACCGATTTTACCGTAGATTGCGAAGAAACGCTGAGTTTGAACAGTCGATGATGATGATGACGATACACAAACAAGCTAAACAGACCCTGGCTGAGGAATTCACCACCATCCTTGAACACAGCAGGTTGAAGGTCGTCAGGATCATAAACTTGATAAGGCCTGAATGGGTATACATTTGGACCTAACCGGAGCTGAAGGAGTAACGGTATTGATATTCTGTTGAAGGCCGGCAGTCGGGATAGAAGGTGGCGGATGGTTAACTGAATTGCTGTTCGAATAAATGTGCCAAACGGCCGATACGTTCTCCTTTGGTGGGTGCCACATAGATATTATAGTCCCCAATAGTTTGGCTGACAAGAGAACCAGTCGGACGGATCAAGTGGAACAGCTAGCAGAAGGTTTCATTAGTTTCCTAACAAATCTCAAAGGAAATGACTGCTTTTGCCAATCTGTCCATCAACAAACATAGCCCTGGGTCCCAGAAGACGCATGCACCAGTGCACGTCATAGTGTTGTACAGCAGCAAAACTTGGCCAGTTCGAGAGGATCTGAGAAATCCACTGCTGTTTTAATATAGTTGAAGTCCGCTGGAAACGGCGAATGTAATCAGGGGACAGGGTTTTGGTGAAGCAGATGGTACTTCACTCGAAAAAAACTCATCCAGCAATGCAAGCTAAGTTGGTTGGGCCATATGTCACGCATCTGGATGTACCACCTGCCGAAACCAGCGCTGTTATCCGTGTCTAATTCGGAGTGGCGGAAACCTAGACGTGGACAGAATTAGACCTGCCAGAAGGGGGTGAAGGACGTCAGGAGATGTTCGTGAGCCGTTTGGACTGTCTGTCTTCTGCGATTGGGTCCACGTGGTCCTTCCTGTGCTTGATTCAATCAACCGGTCAAAAGAAGGCAGGTGTCAGTGAAACAATGTGAAAAAGACGGAACAGTAATCCACTCCTACAGTTGTTGTCCTGAGCCTTCAACACAAACACTGAAAGAACCCAGTGAGCCTGAATAGAACATAGACATTAACCCGCCACCGTCAACCAAAATCCAGCGCGAGATGTCAATCATGAAGCGCGACAATGCACCTGGCCCGGATGGTCTGCAACCAGCACCCTTCATAGAAGGTGGTGAGGTCCTGGCGAACAGTCTGACAACCATATTGCAGCTGATTTGGACCGAGAAAAAAATACCAGCTGAATGGAGCTCCTCAGCCGTCATCGGTCTTCAAAAAGGGCACAAGAACGTCATATAAAATCATCGTGGTATCAGCCTTTCGCATATAAGGTGCTCTCTGGAATTATTTTGCGCAGGGCGATCGATCATAGAGAAACAGATTTGTAAGAATTAAGTTGCATTGCACCCTGGTCGAGGATGCATCGATTATATCTCTACCTTCAGGCAAATTATTGAACACCGGCACTTCTTCCGACGTCCCACGTTGGTCGTTTCTCTTGTTCTGAAGGCTGATTTTGATTCTGTTAATCTTCAGAAACTGGCAGGTGAACCTTCCATATTTATATCCCTTATGAGGGCACCGTGTGCGAACACCTGTGGGCGAGCACGAGTATATGGCAAGCTTTCTCCGGAGTTCACCACGTCCAGCAGTCTACGACAAGGCCGTGCTCTTCCGTTTTTCCCCTTCAAATTCGCTATTGGTGTGCTGCTTCAAATTTCTCTGCCTGCCTCTGAAACATCGGGACGGTCACTCACAGACATCGAATATGCAGACGATGTTGCTGTCCTTGATCCAGATCCTCCTTTGAACAATATAAATAACTCTACCCCACAGTTTGGCATGAGCTTGTAGAGGTCATTTCCCTGTTCCTTCAAGCAACTTCGCTCAATTTGTCTAGTGCATCCTTGCTCACTAGATCACGCGACTCCTTTGTTCCATAAACGCACAAATCACGTGAGGAAACCCTGTCCCTCTCGCAACCTAAACCGTCTATTACGCGTCAGAACGATTCTATGTATTATACATGCGACAAACATTCCTATATATAGGAAGACGCAACACAGCTATTACACATACGCGCGTGCAGATGGCAGGGAGTCAACCAAACCCTTCAAGTCCATGGACGATTACGGAACACGTATAGCAACTACTGTGGGGAAAACACGTTCCCGCCATCCGGACTTTCCCTCAGGAACTCTCATGAGTTATCCACAAACGAGAAGTCACCTTTTGACTTATCCGATTGTTAGTACCGTATTTATTTCATCGTTGTGCAACTAGTGACTGTAAGCTGCTATCTACCATTAAAATTTTTTTAAATCGCTTGACTGTAACACCCTTCCGGTGTCTAGCTGCCATGCTACCCGAAGGAAGCACGAGGGCTAGAATACTGCCAGGTTGCTTGAGCCTAGACAGGGGAAGTCGAGAGGAAGAAATCGGGTTCGAACCACGGACCCTCCGGTCAGTAAATTCGCGCTCTAACCACTTGAGCCATCTCGCCCCACTATCTACCATGGTGAGACTGCTATTAGTGCGTATACCTTCTGAGGTATACCATGGCTATTATAACCATACCTGCAAAGTGCAAAGACTGTGGGATCAAATCTCATGCCTGCAGACAAGTCAATCGACGCTGTGTAAGTTTCGGTGGACTGGCTAGAGATGAGATTACTTCCCGAATCGGGAAGGCCCGGACAGCTTTTGTCAACCTTCCACACCTATAACGCTGAATTGACGTTAGTTTGCCTGTCAAGGGTAGTGGTGCGATCCATACTGCTCCAAGCGCAGTGATTGACCATAGGTCTCTCCGAAATATCCGTCAGGTTTCGTGGGAATATCGGATTAGTAATACTGGGGTATGCCAGGAAGTCCCAGGAAGAAGAAACTCCCACGCGATGGACGAATTACTCACGCCTTGTAGGTTGCACTGGTTAAACGCGTACTTCGCATGCCAGAAGAGTCTGCCTCGCAAAGCTCTTTTAGCCCAGCCCTGTTTTTAATGGGAGCGACTGAGAGGTGAACAGTGTATGACCTACCAACGAATTGCGAAAACGTTAGCTCGGCAAATGCCGCCTCCCTTGAATGGAACTCCGGGACTCAACTCACCAGTGGTACTGCCGTTTGAGGAAAGTAAGTCAATTGATGCGCCATACTTTTCGTCGGCAGACACTCCAAACAAGTTTAGTTAACACTTTCTTCAGAAAGTGGACCATTCGGAAGGGAAACTTATCCGAAAACGCAGTTATGGGTCCTCTGATCACTACATTTACTGAACTATCTCAGATCGTCCAGTCTTTGTTTTACAGTCCCCACAGCCATGGAGTATTTCAAAATTGTCACTGCATTAACAACGATCTGTTTCAAAAACAGCCACTGAGTGGCTCTTTACCCCGATCAGGGTAAAGAAGTTACCAATTATAATCGAGAAATCGCAGCAGAAGGCTGATCTTGTTCGCATGGTCATAGGAACGAGGCGGAATCGCCTGTGAGTGCGACCTCAGACCAGGACTGCCCATCAGACGGATTTGAAACTACGCCCAATTTGCATGTAAATATATATACTAGGTATACATNTTACCAATTATAATCGAGAAATCGCAGCAGAAGGCTGATCTTGTTCGCATGGTCATAGGAACGAGGCGGAATCGCCTGTGAGTGCGACCTCAGACCAGGACTGCCCATCAGACGGATTTGAAACTACGCCCAATTTGCATGTGCAGCATGCCGAAAATTCGCACAACAAATAAGGAACAACCTCCTCTAGTGACAGCCAAACAGTCTAGCGATGGGTTCAGCATTCATGTCAGCTAAAATCATTGGGCTAATGCAGTTAAACGAAAAAATCAGGTAGCTTTTTCGGTATTTTACATTGAACAAATCAACTCACAACAAATAAGCCGGAGCTATTCGCCCTTGGAAAGAGTAAGGGGCCACCATTTAACCTGAAATGCTGGACAGAGTTGAACGCAAAAGGACTGTTACATACCCGCAGTAAGTACTGAGCCGCTCTTCCGTTCATGCTCTTGAGTGGCAGTGGGCGTTCGACCCAAGGAGATCGATGGGTGCGATAGATTGTACACTGGACGCTCATTGGTCAGTACGGCGGATTCACGGAATCAAAGGTTCACGATATACAGGATGAAGGCCTTCGCCCAGGCGTCCAGGGCCGGGCTTGCTCTTGCCGTTTAGCAGCTTCCGTTCACCTGAAGGAGAGTGAGGCATTGCGCGTTAACCTTTTGGGGCAGGGTAGTAATCTTGCCAGCGCGAGGACTCGTCCATGAAGGCACCTAAAAGTGCGCCGAACTGGGTGCTAGATGCAGCGCGACTGAACGTCGGAAGAAGGTACTTCCACACACCAACTACGCGAAATGAGAAAAATTGTTGCCTAATAAGTGTGTGATCCTAGCTTGAAAATTTTCTTATCATGTCCCCGCCGTGCTTTAGCTAGGTTGGTCTTTTGGGGGGGGGCGACGATTATCCAGGGGAATACGCCATACATCGCGAGACGCGTTTTATAACCGGCCACCCGTTGGACACGCTCAATGTGGATCACGTCCTTCTTGTGTCCTGAGAAGGCTACCCGCTTGGCATTTCCAAGGCCAAGAAGGCACCTAGAAGTTCATGCGAGTAAAATGAGGGAAGGTATGCCAGATCACCCGTAGAAGGAAGAATGCCTGTTGGACAGATTTTTCATGCTACAATGATAAGGACATGTTTGAAATGAGCCAGATGCCTACATCCTATTTGGTATCTATCCTCGTAATGCCTTCTGGTCCATTTACGACAAAGGCGTTCGCTGAGTCGCCTCAGAATGACATATGGACACACTTTTCGTCATTCATTGGAAGATTCCAGTCCAACGACCATGTATTTACGGTGCCTCCATCCACCTGGAGGGTATCAGTATTTGAAACCCGGGATTTTAATTCCTCCATAAAAAGTATACCTGGGCCTGAAAGAACATCTGGAAGTTTGTAGACGAAGATCAGAAACAAATTGGTCCCAAAACAGGACCTCAGGGAACTCCAATGGAGACTGGCACCGGAAAGCGTATAGGGAGACTACTTCCACTCAGAACGTTCCGTCTGATGAGAACGAGTGGAATTTCCCTTTGATTCCTTTGGGACTCGAGTTTGTGGAGCAGTGGGACGTGTGCGCCTTGATTAAACGCCTTTAAGAAGTCGAAAAATATGGCACCTGTTGTGGATCCTTCATTTTCAGCTAGGGTCAAGCTGTCCATAAGTACCGGCATGTTAGTTAAACGATAACTGTTTAGGAGCATTCGAATTCGACTGAGGATGGTAAGTTGTTGGTTATGAGGTGATTTAAGTTGGCAGCTTCGGAATGCGTTTCATCACCTTGCACTGTACGCAAATGAGACTAATAGGCCTGTTGTTGTTGAACGATAGTCGGCCAACGGTTTTGTGGATTGGCGCTATAAACGCTTCCTTTCAAGCAGAGGGAAGGTTGCCTTCGTCGAGAGAGTGAATAAAAACCAGGTGGAAATGCTTTGTCAGTGTAAATGACGGTTCCTTCATGATTCCTGAATGGACCTCGTCTGCCCCCAACGAGCTAAGGCGGGTTGTCTTATGCAAGCGTTGGCGATTGTCCCTTACGGTTGGTTAGAGGCAGTTCGTGGTTATTTCGTGACAGGTTCGGATGTGACGAAGTCACCGAGGCGGAATACAGGCCCCCGGAAACGTCAGCTACCACGATTGGTTCCCTTGCTAGTCCCGCGTTTCTGTCTCTCAAGGAGAAGGTGGTTGGCCAATTCTCCCCGGGTGATGTCCTGTGTCTAAGTGGCACACTTTTGTTCAACCGGAATAGGTCGTATATTTTTGTATGCCGCATTGGCAAGTTTCTGTATTACAACGTTTCCTAATTTTGGTCACCGAGGCGGAATACAGGCCTCCGGAAACGTCAGCTACCGCGATTGGTTCCCTTGTTAGTCCCGCGTTTCTGTCTTTCAAGGAGAAGGTGGTTGGCCAATTCTCCCCGGGTGATGTCCTGTGCCTAAGTGGCACACCTTTGTTTAACCGGAATATGTCCTTCGTTGGTTATAACCGATTCAAGCGGAGATGGTATTTGGCCTGCGCGGTATCTGGCGACATGTCGAGGCCGAGCGTTCTGAAGAAAGACTTTGATCAGCGTCCATGCAAAATAACCACAGGAGCCGATGCGCTGAAATTCCGTCCAGAAAGCACTCGGATTGCATAGATCACATACGACCAAGAGATGTGTGAAGTGGTAACAGAGAAAAAATCGCTCAAGTGTTTGCATGAAAAGTTGTTTATCTTTCGATGGACTCGATGGGCAACCGTTGACCACGCTGAGAAGAGGTTAATCGGGCCCAGGCAGGGAGCAGTGAATCCACGGTGCATCACGAAAGGATGCAAGTGTGGTGTTTGTAGCTGAATTATCTGCGATAACCGTGCGTCCGTTTGGTTTGTTGAACTTCTGGTGCAATTTGACCCTTAGGCCTTTCCGTAAAACTCTGTCAGGTCGCTTGTGCGTTATATGGCACCACCATAAGTACTCTTATTGATTGCATCTCCGAAGGAACAACAACTTTTCGATGAGGCTAGGTTAAGTTGGCTAATTTGACCGCAGTCTTAATCCTTTTGCGTCGCTGTGGACTCCCGGATCGTCCGCTATCAGCCTAGCCAGCTCGATGTGCGTAGGAATTCTCGGTACAGGACCACTTGGTTTGTGGCTCTGGCTATCGCGATCATGAATAACAACCGTGTTCGCAATCGGAGAAGCAGCTTTTGACGGAGTGGAGTTGGAGGCTGGTATTATCGTGTTTCCCGTGGTTGTGTCGTTCTTGTTGCAGTTCTTGACGTCGAGGTCAACACTTACGGTTGACTTGTCTTTGCCACTTGCCACGGGGCACCCGACCAAATTGAGCATAGAACTTGTAAATTGGGTGCAGAGTTTACCACTGCGCCTTTGTTGTCCTGGGGGAATAACCAATTGTAATTGAACATATATTGATTGCCGCTTCCACTCAAGGCTCGCATTCCCACGAGCGTCACGTTCGTGGGTATTCGAAGATTCCGTGCCGTTTGCGTAAAACTATAATCCAGAGTCGCGGCAGGTTCTGTTGAGTGCTTCTAGGAGTAAAAGAGGTTACAATTACCATCAAGCTGATCATAAGTTCGGGGTCGGCTATAGCGTTTCCAAATGGAAGTCGCCATTCCGGAACTGTTGCGGCCCGGTTCTCGTGTCTTTAAAGAACGATCCTTTGATAATCGCTAGGTCTATGGGTGGGCCTTTGCATTCTGACAGTCCGCGATTAAATCCTTCGTACGGCAGTTTGCGGAAAATGTGTAAAATAAAGCGAAATCAATGATATTAGGGAAATGGACACTAGTCTCCTGAGGAGTGTAGAAGGCAGCATACCAACATTGAACTCCCGTTCCCATCCGCATGTGGGAGCCAATCCCCATATTTATTCACCTTGACCAGATGAACTGAAACCCAATTGTTTTACTGAGCTAATTTTCAAACTTTTACGGACTATAGTCGGACAATGTGATTTTGCGGTTGCTCGCCGTTTATGTCTGTTTGGTTGTGAGGATATCGAATTTGAGGCGAAGTAATCTGCGTTGTATGCTCAGGCTTGTGATTGTACCACCTTATTTTCTAAACTTACTGTATCTGCAGAGGAGAATCCGTTGAGGTTTGTTAAATGTGCGCATTTTCTTTGCAATAGTACCATGGTTCCAGACATCGGATTGGCAAGCGTAACTCAAGTTTAAAAAGCAAATAGCCTTAACATGAAGGGATTTCGAAGTGGAGAATTGTACAGCATTCAGACTGAGCGTTTTAGAGTACGTTAATTAAAGCCGTTTGGGGGCGCGAAATTTCAAACTTACCGCATTCCGCGGATTTCCTGTAAAGTCACTATTCCGTGGCAGGCTGATACCCGCTTCTTCAAAAATCTTTAGGCAGAAATGTAACATGCTGTGTGCATAAACCGATAGATAGCGAAATTATGTTACTTTTGTTGGAATGCCTCTCAATTGATCTCGCTCTTTGATTTTTAGTGCTGTTGTAATATTGCGATGATAAACCATGCCAGCAGTGTGACTACAATTTTCAGACCTGTCCCTGGGTGAGTGCGCATATCATCATTGAATGTTTGCTGCCTATCCCCTGGCCTGTCCTGAATTCTCATGTGGGTGCATCCTAGTTCATCGGTAAAGACTACATTCTGTGACGTTGACTTAGATCGAACTACAGAATTTCAGTACAGCGTTGGTGTTTCAAATGCGGAACATCGATCCCCGCAAGGGTTGGAAAACTTCGAATATCAAAAAGAAGATTTGTTTCCGCAATTATGTGGTACCGTTCACGAAACATTGACTAAATGTATGCAGCAAACCTCAATCGTTCACCCTCGTAGCGCCGACAAGTGCACAAGCCTGGCATTGGCCAGCACACCAAACGAGGGCAAGCGGAATACTGCCTCAGTATTGTGGGCTGTGGCCGTCTCTTCCACCGACAGTCTCGTGATTCCCGCTAGCGATGCCATCACACAGAAACCATGAGAAAACAAGTCAAGACAGGCTCTTTAAACAGAACACGTGCGCGCATGGTTAAGTAAGTCAGCTGCGCACATTCACACAGACACACATGCCAATACACAAATGTCGGACGGGACGGCACTTGTGCCGATGGCAGTGGCGTGTACAGATGAGTGAAAATGGACATCAAAAATACACTGGCAGGGTAATCGAATGAGTGAGAGAATTATCGTTAGTATAAGTCAGATTTATTACACATCGTGTCGTAACCTCCGCGTACGCCCACATTTTTGGCCCGAGGATGGAATAAATTTACATCCCCAATTAATAGCGTGGTGGTAGTACAAAGGCTGTAGAGCAGAATCAGGAGGAAAGAGACGTTGATGAGTTCATGTGACGCTTGTAATTGCCACAAGTTCTAATATGTCCATCCGCTAACGAGGCATTATGAATTTATCGTAATTCTAGCACTTCAAAGGCCCCATGCTCAGCGGGGATTTGGTAAGGTAATAACGCAATAACAGTTGGTCAGCTAGGTTTGTTTAGCTGTCGGCTACGTTGAACTTAGGTTCCATATGACCGGTTAATTAGGAATCGTTGGCCCCCAGCCAAATGTTAGACTTGTGTCAGTCAATTCTTCACTGCATTAATGTTTAGGAAACAGCAGCCTCCTTCATTGAAGTTGGCACCCGATGTTGGAGGTGATGATGAAAAGCTCATGACCTAAATTCTACCTGCAAACTGTCTAGC